AACAATGCATGTAAAACCATTTTCACCAAAAACCAAACCATGAACACCAAGAACAAAACCATGAACATATTTTCAAGATTTGTATGTTCTTGGTGATTTTTCAAACCCAAAAAACAAAAGTGACAAGATCACTACTTTCTAGCTTCAAAGTGTGTGTGTGAGGTTCAAAACAAAACACAAACACTAACAAAAAATCCCCATTTAGCCGAACCCCCTTTGAGGAATAAAACCCCAAAATTTTTGTTTCTAAACCCTCTTTTCATTCATGCATCCAAAACATTTTTGCATACATATCTTTCTCAACTATTGATACACCTTTTTCAACATTTGAAAAGACAAAAGATAAACATATTTTGAATGAAAAACAATTTAAACTCAAACTTCATTCATGCATCAAAAACACTTTTTCTTGCATATCCTTTTCAACTTTTGATTTACAATTTTTCAACACTTTGAAAAAACAAAAGATAAACATATTTTGAATGAAGCAATAATATGACATACATAAAATTAAAACCCATATGCATAAAATCTAAAAGGACACATCATACATAAACCTTTGGCTCTGATACCACTTGAAGGGAAAATATGAGATTTATGTGGGATTTCTATTGACTAGCATGCATATACAATTCAAAATTTATATACGAAAACAACGGAAGCATGTCATCAATTAATATCAAAGCTCTAGTCATGAAAATCCCCTTCAAGATTCATAGGTTTATTTATGATGCATCAAAACAATTTATTGAAGAACAAAGTTTAGGAGTAGTTTTATACCTCTTGATCTAGATCTTAGACCAAGGATTGACCACCTCCAAGCTCTTTGCTCCTTGAACTCCTTGAGCCTAGCCTCCCTCCTTGCCTCCTCCACTTTGTTGAGAATGAGTGCTCCTAGGTCCTCTTCAAGTTTCCAAAATTGAAAACCTCTAAAGATCCTCACCCACTAGTGTAGTGAGAAGGATGAAGGAAATATCCAAAGGGGTGATAAAATGATTAGCTAATACCCCCTATGGTGGCCGGCCCTTTGTTTTTAGAGAGAGTTTGATATTATTTTCTCTTTTTTTTGTGTTTTGAACAACCTAAACACACTAACTCTTCTTTCATTATAATGTTCCTTTTATTACATAAAGAAACAAGTCAACAATTGACCTTCTCTCTCCCTCTCTTTGGCCGGCCATATGTGTTTGGTTTGGGCTTTGGGCTTTTTATTATTTCAAGTCATCCAATGCTTGAATAAAAGCCCAATGGGTTTTGGCCCAATGGGCCTAATTAAACCCGAACGTTTCTTTAAGCCCAAAACGATCTTTATCGCTTTTATAATTTCTTTAGACTTTCTAAATTAATCAAAACACTTAATTAATCCAATTAATTATTTCCATCATCCATTAGTTACTCACTACAAGAGTGTATTGGTGAACAATCTTTTAGGTTCTAATTAGCAAGGCAGTGAGGTGATTGGCACCAATCCAATTGATTATATTTAATCCATCCACTTAGTGAATTAAAACTTACTTTTAATTCACCTTCTTCTTTGATGACTACATTTAATCATCTTAGAAGAACTCACAAGCCATGAGTGACATCTAAACATATATCATGGCTACCCAAGCTAATGTAGAAGTTTATTCGGAGAACCTATTCAGCTGGAATTACAATGTAATTCGATCCTTCTCTAAAACAATACTCTCAATCACATCACTAGGGTATGGATTTATAATGTCAAACCCCTAATGTGATTATTCCTTCTTATACGATTCATTTGAGACGTATAGGAACGCTTTCCTTTATTACACTCGATACTTCGGCCGAAGATTCCCGAATCATATCTTAGAGTATTCATCCTCTCTTATCGAGGATTAGAGATTCCTTGTTGCGCATTCACTTGCCTTCATGGCTAAGTGGCTTAACCCCAACGATGCCTTGGACACTCGCGTACGGAATGACTTTAACATAATCAAAGATTAAGTACTTAACCACAAGACAACGACGATGCCTCAGGTCAAAGGATTACTTACATTATTCCAACCATTAGAGTTACTTGCTTGACATGTGAGTAGACCTCCATGCAAGTACTCTCGTTCGATTGTGTTCAGTGAACTCATTCCCTTAATGAGCACCTACATGCTTGTCTTAGTGTCGCTACACGAATGGGATGAGACTTTCCATCCTTCCAATTGAAGCGGACATAGTATGTACCAGTCTATGGATTGTCAGTATCCCTCCGACAATCCTTATGACCAGGAACCTTTTTGGACATGATGGTTATGAGAAGAAGGTCTCTGTAATCTAACATCATTAGGTTACTTCTTCCATCGATCCATTGTCCATGGATTCACTATTTAGGACATATTTTGTTCTTTGAGATAGTCCTAATTAGTATCTTTGCCTTCCGATGTATAAGAGTCATATATACATCAATTCATTGTCCTGAAAGGTTTCTTCCAAAGATTGACTTTCAGGGCATATTTCCAACACACTTACCTACCTTGGCCCGCCCCGTTACAATTTAAATAGGGTAGCGTCTAGTTCCTCCAAATTTCGGCCCAACCCGTTCCATGCCTACCCCTAAAAAGATTATAACAAGGAGCATGTTGACAATAAATGCTCTTCTTACCTGTGAGTGGACCTTTTCGAAAAACTAAATGTTTTACGTTATTTATTTATATGTTGATGCACATTACTATCGTTCATCTTCAACGAGGCTTATTAACTTATTTAACTTAAATGATATCTTGAGATCATTGGTGATTCATTTTCACCACATGATTACCATACATATCGTATAGCTAGGTATGGTCGTGGGTTTATTGCAGATACATTTCCTATCCTAGAAGAGGCTAGAATTTTCTAGTAGACAGTAGATATCGATTAGGTAGATGCCATTCCACCTGCTTCCAATATATATATATATATATATATATTTGTGATTGATGTACTTTCTTTGATATGATGAGCAAGATTGAATTGATCTTGACTCTTATTATTATAGTATTATTATGTATGTAGTTTTTACTATACTTGTGATTTCAAAACGAAGATTATTATATTGGAATGATCTTGATGAGGTAAAACTGGTCCACTTAAATTTTGTTTTGTCGACCCCTCAAGACGTAGTGAGAATAACGAAAACACCGGTGGTGATGAGTGGGCTTGGCAGTTAGGCTTTCATCCTCTGGACTTATGGTGATGGTTCATTTACTGCAGTTTTATCTTTATTGTAATAATTGCATGGTCATACTTTTGATTATGCACAACACTGCACTTTTATGTGTTTATTGTTGTGTGAAACTTCTAGCTGCTTTAATGTGATGTGATAATAACAAGATTTAATCCCAAGATTTTGTGTCCCTAAGTGGGAGGTTGATAAGTGAACTCTATAGCAGTTTTGGATTATAAATAATGAACACTTTGTTCAAATTTTTGCACATCATAAATATCTTTCTATGCCTTACGTCATTAAGTTGGCTTGTGATGTCATCTCCAGGTGGGATCACATGGTCAATTTAGTGATGGTCAACACATCATGGTCTTGTAACTTGTGTTATTGGGGTTGAGGTGTGTCAGAAGTGTAGGAAAATACTAATGGGACCCGACAAATTGCTCACTAGTAGGGGTGGGTTCAAAAAACTGAAAACTGAAGAAAAAAAAGGGGACCGAACACAGAGCCGAAATCGAAAAATCGAAAATCGAAAAAAGACCAAACCGAAAAGGGATAAACCCAACCAAACAGAACTTTATTGGTTTCGTTTTGATTTTGGAGGTTCGAAAACTAAGCCGAACCTAACCAAACCCAATCCCTTTACATTTTATGAATGTTTGCCCATGATGTTTCTTTTGTGAAACTTTGTTGCCAAGTTTAGAGCATACTTGGTTCATTCAGGGAGGATATTCCATTGGTTATAGAAGAAAGTTTTGGACGGCTATGGAACTTGGAAGAGCTTCTTTATTTGTTTGCTTTTGGAATGGTTATTGTGATCATTTTTCCTTGCAATTGAGATTGTTGATAGAATAGGATTGGTTTCTATGATCTTGTATATGTACAACTACATTCCCACTTTTCCCATTTTCTTATTATTAGTCTACCAATGCAAGCCTCTTTTCTAAATTTCATATTAAAAAAAGATCAAGTTGTATAAAATAAAAAAAACTGAAACCGAACCGAACAAAACCAAACGGAAAAAAAAAATCCGATCGAAAAAAAACGAAAGAAAATCGAACCGAACCAGTTTTGATTTTGGCAAAAAATCAAACTGAATGAAACCGAACCCACCCCTAGTCACTAGACCAACAATTTTATTGCAACCTTATTTTTGTTTGGCAAGTGTATTGAAATTAAATATATTGTATTAAAGGTAAATATATTGTTGGGCAGGAGGAAGCTAGAATTATCTAAGTGATTTGGGTTGCCCTCGACTTGGTGGCAGTTTGGGTATCCTGATAAATTTGGGGGCTGGGTTGGGTGTGCATGTCACGACTCAAAAATGGGCACGTGACAATGCCACGACTTATCAACCACGCAATACTATGACGTCAAACGCAACATTATAACACATGTTAGCGATAGAACATAAAAAAACATTGCGAAAGCGTAAATAATTTGGTAGGCCGAAATAAATCAAAATACTATCTTATTTAATATGTCAGTTAAAGACACAAAAAATTAGAGATACTAAAATCGCTAAATACATTTCTCTATCCCCACTGCCACATCATCTAGCACACCATCTCCTTGGGATAACTTGCATAGAAAAACATGCAGTGATATGGATGAGTTACACGTACGACATTGCCCCCCTCGGGGTCACCCGAAGAATTTTACTCCAAATCACAAATCATAAATCACGAGCAATGCTCGATGGATGAGTTAAAACTAGTGGCATACGATTACCCCAACATCACGCTATATACCAACATTGTGAGATGGCCAAGAAATTGTAACAAGGACCCAGGCCATCAAGCGGCAGGGTACACAAGGATATTGCACGCATACCGATAACGGCCGATATCAAGTCAAATTCACAAGTAAAAATAAGTAACAACACGGTTTAAACTTTAAAGCATAAACCAATTCCGTATATAATATCATGTAAAAACATACGGGACAGCAATAAGGCAAGTGAAAGGACAAATATCCTACACAGAAAACACTGTATCACAATACAAACGCTGAACGTTATTGCTTCTGAAAGCATTTGTTAGGAACGTTGCCTTGAAGATCCTCCAATTACTATTGCCCTGATAAAAAAAATCAGAGAGATGAAACTTTTTCGTCCAGGGATTCTTTAACTGCCTTCAATAGTAATGGCATTAGTTTCTGATTTGTGACGATTATGCCCGTATCAAGATCAAGATACTTCCCCTTTGAGAAATCCAATGGGTTCCCCGCGGCATCTGCGACCACACCCCCAGCTTCTGAAAATTTTCATTCAAAAACCAGTGTCAGAATTGCAGAAAATGTTTTCCAAAATAAACCCTAAGACTGTATCCTGAAAACAAGAAAAATATCAACTTGTTCTTGAATTAGTAGCTTTTTCTATTACAAGGATAAAAATAGAGTTTTCCTCAACGATTCCTAAGAGAGGAATACTTTCAGAAGATTGCTCATGCAATTTTGAAGTGACTGGGTAAATATACAATTAATGAAGTAATTTCATGAAACATCTGTTCTTTCCTGACCCAAATACAGAATGAACCTAACTGAATCCAACATAAGGTAAGTTGTATGGTTTAATCTTCGGGTCCGGCTACACTGTTATGTCCCACTCAATGGTACGGGTTTTATGCAAAGATCAGATGGTCACAAGACCCATTAGATCCTTATATGCAACATCTAACCGTTTATTTTTTATGACAAAACACAGTGGTAATGTACCATGGAAGAATTGTTAATCTTCTATCCATAGAGACTTCCAGTACCAATCTACCCAGGGTAGCAGCGGTCTTGCTCATGACAGAAAAGGGAAAAAAAACCTTTTCTCTAATCTCCTATTTCTTATCTTTTTATTGATACACCACATTTTAAACAACAGAAAACTCCCCTAAAGCCCTTTATATAGGCCAGGCTTCACATTCGTTTCCTCATTAACTATATAAATGATGCATAGTGCAGGTGATTTCACAAGAGAGATTACACGAGGAGTGGCAAAGTTTGCCAAACCTCGCTAAATTTTTCGTGTTCGTGTATTGCATGTTTACTTTATTGTTTATATGTTTCACATAGCATCATCTTATATGTTTGCATAACACTTGAGACTATCGATAAACAAGATCAACTAAAGGGCATTAAAATCAACAGGAATCCCCTTTTGAAAACAGAGAAATGCCCCTTCTGTTCAGCTCGTAACCAATGTTTTAAAAGGCTTGCCTCAGAGCGCGCCTAGGCGCCCTCTGAGGCTGGGCATGAGGGTTGCCGTCTCTGTTTTGAGGGAGTGGGCGAAAGGCGTCACCAGAGCCGCCTAGGCGGCAGAGGCATGCCTCCGGGCATCCAGGCGTCTGTTTACCTAAATTTTGGGTAGGGTTTTAACTGCCTTATACCTCTTCCTTGCACTATCGTCTCTCTGCCTTTTTTTTCTGATTTTTATTTTTTTATATAATGGATGTGTGTGCTGTATGTGTGCATTGTTATATGTGTGCTCATTGTTCTTTTCATCCTCAATTATATATATATATATATATAAAATATGTGTATATGTGTATATATTTATAATATATGTGTGTGCTCAAGGTGATTATTGATTAATAATCTTCTTCTTTTTTTAATATAATATATGTGTACGCTCAATATATATATATATATATATATTGAAAAATTTAGGTCCCATGAGGTTTCGCCTCACACCTAGGCTGGGCTATCCCTCGGACGCCTCACCCACACCTCATGCTTTGAATACATTACTCATAACTGATGTAGGGATATATATATATATATATATATATATATTGGGTTTAGGCCTTAGGATTAAGGTTTCTATCTAAATTCCTAACAATATATATCCACAACTATGAGCTTCAAATGACATGTCTAAACATACCAGCCTCTAGGAATGTGTGATCCAAATATCATTTGCACGATTGCATTGCATCCAAAGGTCCACACCTTAACATCCCTAACACTTACAAATTCATCCTCCTGAGAGGGCTCGGAGGTCGCAGCCTACAGTCTATTCTATAAAGCATGGTCCAAGAGCTATGTTGATATACAATAACAGAAGAAATAACAGTTTACCAGTCACGACAATGCACCCAGCAGCATGATCCCATATTTTTTCACGATATCCTTTATGGGGAAAACGAAGATATATTGCTCCATCTCCTCTGGAAAGTGCTCCATACTTTGCCTGGCTGTCAATTCTTACTGGCGGGGCTTTGACACCGAGTTTCTATTCACAAAATAATGTTTGACTACCAATATTCAATAGAAAATACACACAACAGAAATCGTTTAAGAGGAAAAGACAAACACAGTACCTGAGCAATGCTGCTAGACAAGTCATGCAAGGAGTGTGCTGCTTCAAAAGATTCGAAAAACGAAGCTTCTTCAGGATTTTCAGTAGCGCTGACATGCACCTGAAGGACAGCAATAACATTAGTTCTGTGAAACCAGTTCAAATAAAGAATGCAACGAGTTATCTATAAGTGCTAACTTTTATCAGGGAAGAACCATCCAATGGCTGCATATATGTTCCGGTACCAACTGTAGCAAAGAAAAGACAACCAACTTTATCATATGAAGAATGCTGATTATTGCCACTAATGGATGCGAGAGGAAGATTCGGACAGGCCAGGACACCCAACACAACTTTTCCTTCATCCAGCAATCCCAATGCTATGGCATATTGATCTCCTCTAACAAACCTACAGCAGAATCAGCTATTTATCATGGCAGGTTCATAAGCATATTAAATCATTACAGAAAACAGGTTAGCAAGTGAATCAAAGAAAATGTTTGACAAAAAATAAAAATGAATCAAAGAAGAAAACTATAAACTAATACTAAAACAAGCTGCACGCTACCAAATAAAATTTCAGCAAATTATAATAACTGCCAACCCACAGTGGATTTAATGATCCAAACCATCCACTTCTTAATCCTTTATTCAAGGATCATCTTACATAAAATCAACTACATCTGAAATCATTTAGTCACCTAAACTTGATCAAATAAATCAGATGAAACTGAAGTGTTGGATAATAAGATGTTATTTGTTTGATGAGAAATACAAAGGAATGTCGGAATAAGGTCTAGCGTTGACGCCCATGTATCACATAGGAGGGGAAGAGTAGTCAAACAAACAAGCTATAACCACACAACAATTAAATGGTCAAATGATTTAACATTTTACTATTTTTTTTTCTCTGTTTTGCATTTATTGTTCTTAAAAGGGATCTAAATTTAGACAGTTCAGACCATTGGACCCATGTGTGTGTGAGAGTATGTGGGGCTTCCTTAACAACCAACTTGATCACAATGCTTATTATCTCTCACATTTCAAATTTTACTAAGTATCAAACTTTTCTGCATGGTGACTTGCTCCTAGTGATGGAAACCAAATAACATCTGAAATAGACAGTTTGCTTCACATCCTAAATTTTAAATTCAAAACTGAACACAGTGAAAATGAAAATAGCCGTATTAAAAAGAAAAGGTGCTTGAGAAACATTAAAAAAGAAAAAGTAAAACGGAGATGAGAAATGATCAGTTAATGGAAAAGATACCATGTTCTATAAAGGAATAGCCAAGGAAAGGCTTCTGTTGCACTCCAAATGGAAAGATTACTGCTTAGTTTAAAAGAATGCAATCAATGCATGGTCGTACACCAGGAGCCTGACACTTCGGCATGTTGATGAAAACGATTAATAGCTTTGAGATAATTCCGTATATATAATATGCAAAAACAAAAGTGAAAAAACCATGCATACTTATATATTGAAGTACCATATATAGACTCATCAATTTGAAATGAAATGGGTACAGAACAAAATGGTCACATCATCTCCAAATCATCAAAAATTACAACTTTAAATGGAATGGACCTTTAGAAAGCATTCTTCTTAACTAATGACTTAAGAGACGTCCATCTTACCGATGACAAAAGCTCTTAAAATATGTTCAGAAGCTTACCCTTTGGTTCCATCTATGGGATCTAGAACCCAGTGCTGGCCGCTAGAACCACCTTCAGATTTCCCATTGTCAATAGCTCTGAGCACATCTTCAGTGGTTAAATTAGAAACACTGGAAAAGTCACTATTGGCAAGAGTATCATTAACAAGTTTTGTTATGCGCCCTAGTGTTTCCTGCCCACTTTCCTTCCGAAGATCTCCCGAGTCCTAAAGAGATTTAAAAGTTAGAAGTAGGATTAACAATTCAAGGGAGAAAAAACCCAGAATCTGAATGTCAAATTATCAGCAAAACAGTACATGCTCACCTCCTCGGCCACAAGCGAGAACGATTCACAAGGAATTTCCCTTTCCAGTACCAAACTCACAATAGCCTGTGAACCTGGGAATCACAGGTTCATAAAATAAAAAGAAAGAGGCAGTCAATCACAGTTGCTTTCATATTGACAAAAAAAAAAAAAATATTAAAAAAATTACAGTTGCTTTCATATTCAGCCTAATTTCTGAGTTAGTGTATGTGATTTGTCTCTCAAGACTGAATCATGGGTTCAGCATCCAGACTAAAAAGCATTATCAGATATCATGAATATAAAACTATAAATAGAAACTAATGATTGTTGACAGTGAAACAATAAGAAATATGACAATTGCAATGAGAGTTTCAATTATATGTCAAACAACTGTTTCTACTTTTCTAGGAATAAAATTATAAAACATTCCAAGCATCTGCTTTTGGTATTAGGTGGAGACAAAAACACTGGGGCTTATGGGCAATCCAATTAAGGGACCTAGTCATTTTGATAGAAACGTAACATGCTCCACTTTCAGAACATTCAAGGGTAGCATAGATTGAATGTAAAACCAAATAAAAATGGGGGAGAAACAATAAAAGCTTGCCGTGGAACATGGAAAAATGAAATGGAGTGTCTATACTACGAATTATGATATAATCATGGCCGATTTTAAGTAATAATAACCATTCACGTGTGCAAGAGAAAATTTATGGACAGGCCCAGACAACCTGACAATTAAAATCTGGATGTGACAAAAAATTCTTTCTTAGGGCATCATATCAACCTTCCATCAGCAAACTAACCATGGTGAGGCAGATGAGGAAAACTTAAAAGTATATAGAATTTCTTGCAGTGCATTAAAGGATAAGGAATTAAATGGACATCTGTGCAGATGTTGCATTTACTTCTCTACTGTTCTATACAGACATGTATGTCTAGTATAGCAAATAATTTTGACTTCCTTTCATACCAACTAATGGAATGAAAACTACTTTTGGGAAACATTTAATGAGACGGTAGAAAGTTTGAGGTGATGTAAGTTTGACAAGCATTAAATTATTCTCGTCATCTATTCATATATCTAGACATTTGAAATTCTTGGCCACAAAGCACATCCAGACTTCAATGGTCACCATACAAAGAGCAAGGTGAATACTCATGATGCAAGTATTGAACCCACAATCCATAATCCGTACAACAAAGCTTTATTCCACTCAGTGGGGTTGGCTGTATGAATCCTAGAATGCTACTGAGCTCGGTTTTGTGTCAAGTCTTCCGTTAGCTCCAAGCACTTCATATCTTTTCCTAAAGTCTATTTCCAAGCCTTCCTAGGTCTTCTTCTACCTCTTGTTCCCTGATGCTCAAATCGCATTTTCTAACCGAAGCATTTGTAGGTCTTCGTTTCACATGTCCAAACCACCTTAACCGATTTTCTCTCGTTTTATCTTCAACTACAGCCACTCCTACCTTACATCGTATCCTGATTCTTAATCCTGTCCTTTCTCATGTGCCCACACATCTAACGAGGCATTCTCATCTCCGCTACACTCATTTTTTGTGCGTGTTTGTGCTTGACCGCCCGACATTTCATTCCATAAAGCATTGCTGGCCTTATTGTCATCCTGTAAAATTTCTACAGTGACTTAAAAGTATTCTTGAGGCCAACATATTAAGGCAAATTTTCTAAATGCATACTGTGTCCAACCTTTTATATTTACATACAGTTAATTGTAAGAAATCTGCTGTTTCAAATATTTTCCACAATAAAATCTGTCTAAGTAACAAGAAAGTAACTTTTCAGTTCTTTTGGTAAGAGACTCATTGGAGTCTCTAGACTCAACATCATCTTAAATGTCAATGATTGGTTAACCAACATTGTGGATAATTGTGCAGAATTTATGGTCTTCCATCATGAACAAAAATTCCATTATGTAAAGACTTGTTTGCCAGTGAAACTTTACTTCCAGCCAAGTAGTATTGCAACGTTTTACTTCCAAACTTTCTCAATGCATATTAACCAGATGACACATATTTCATTTCATTATTCACAAGTAATTACTTTCTTCTTAAAATATTATAAAAATGTGATGAACAATTTATCTTTGTTTTCAATTAATGGTTCGGGACCAGATATATATTTCACATTAAAATGTTGGTCAAAGAAATACAGCCTGACAGATTTATACGCCAGGCAAGAAAACCTAGTATCAAAGATATTATCTAGATGCAAGAACATATGAGCAGAATTTTTCTTTTCCTTTTTTCAAGAAACATCCAATGAAAACCGAATTCCCTGACATATTAGTTCAAGTGGTGGAGGGTGGGGGAGCATGAGTAGTCGATGGATTTGAATCTTGCCAGCAGTGACAATTTAGTAATACAAAATAATTAAACTTCTTTTCTTCAAAAAGAGAATTAGTAGAAAGTTGTGCAATACAAAAAACATAGTGTGGAGCTACAAGATAGGTTCAAAGCAAACTGCAGATGATTGATTCATTATAAAACACCCCCAAATGAAAAAGAAAAAACAATATATATATATATATATAAACAGATTAACTGTAAAAGACAATCATCAACAAAAGAGTTTGTAAACATACCGTAATCCGCCACTGTTACTGGACTTTTGTCTGATTTTGAATGAACGTCTGACTGCAATAGGGCCTTTTGCACCTTCTGAAGCAGAGGAAACCGATAACAGAAGTCAACTTGGGATGACATATTATATTGCTACAAGAGTAGTAGAAATGAAAAATAACAATGATAATTTCAGTGCTCAGTGCTAACTCACAAATCGTAAGACAAAGGGAAACAATTTTCATACGACAACAGACATTATAAGGCTATAAGACGGGATTATATATTTCTCAATGTGCCCTTCATATGACTTTAGAAAAGGAATATTTCTCGCCTGGAGCTCCTTATAAAATCATATAGTATATCACACTTGAATTATAGTGGTGTCCACATCAAAGATACTCTTTTTTATTCCTCAGAGTTGTATAGACACGAGTCACATACTCACTTGTAGACACATTCATACATTGGCCATGGATCTACTTAATGAACAATCTGGGTTGAAAGACAAACTTTCTGTTTCTTGGAGATGGTAAACAAATACAACCGCGAATTCATTGTCCAATAAATGCTTAAATGGCTAAAGAATTGGCAAATTCTAGACATGGGGTTTGCTCAAACAAATGTTTTGCATTCTTGGTTGGTCGCAAATTACATTATCATCTCCGAATTCGAAGCGGACTCAATCGACAATTTATGCTCTGGGTTTCCATTCTTAAAGTCAACTCTCAAACAAAAAGTGATGAAATCAGAGAGAGAGAGAGTATTGCCTGGCAGAGGAGAGCAGCGAGCGAGGCAGCTTTTTTGGCAGCAGCGAGCTCCTTTGCGTAGGACATTGAAGAAGAAGAAGATGATAAAGCCGTTGCTATTCTTCCACTTCCAGAGAAGGCCCTTTTGGTAGGTGAGAAAGAGGGCGAGAATGCGTGTGACCTGATGAATTCGGGCTCTGAATATCGTAATTTGGGCACTGCTCTAAACCAATTTATAGCCATCTCTCTCTCTCTTTCTTCTTACTCGGTAATTGTATCACATCAATTATTTTGCCGCAGGTGCAGGGACTCTATTATTATTAATTTTCCTTTTTAGGAATTTTTCATTAAAATATTAGAAAATGGATAACAACTGCATTCTGAATATATGCCACTCATTATCGAAACTTACCAATTTATTAATTTTTTCGTCATTCAAATAAAAGGGAAATTGATAGAATTGAGCCATTTCTTTGAGAGAGATTGATAGAAATAGATTATTTTCTTATTTTTGGGATCAAAATAAGATAAATTGGCTATGCACACACCATGATCACCATGCACAAAAGCAAAATGATGAAAACACCAATATATAAATTGTAAAACCTCACAACTCATTGTGTCATAATTGTGAGCTCTAATTTTTTGGGTTGAGAAAGGGATGTAGAGAGAGAGTTGTGAGCTTTGGGTTTTTTGGTTGAACTCTGATCTTTAAGCTCTGATTTCGAAGAGAGGGAAGTTGAGAGAAAGCTTGGAAGAGAGGTTTCAAAGAGAGGTCAGGGGTTTTGGGTTGAGTGAGCTCTAATTTCATACATAGTGATGTTGAGAGAGAGCTCAGAAGATCGAGGTCGAGGTTTCTGGGTTAAGCTGAGGTCGGGGTCTTCCATCCTTAAAGATAACACTTTTGTACCATATTTTCTGGTTTTTGCTAAAAAGTTTCATTTTTTCCAGCAATTGAAGCTTTGGCAGGCATATTTGGCACCCTAGGCATTTGCTTGGTTTTGGAGGCCCTAAGGTAGCGTGTTTAATTCCAAGTTCCTATATCAATGATTCAGAAGTTCAATTAGAGTTTGTGTTTCATGTTGGGGCTATGGGTTGTGGAAAAACTTGATTTTTTATGTGCTAAATAATACATATGTTCCAATTTCTGTTTCAAGTGTTCAATTGCAGAAACTTGGAAAACTTTTTATGTTATGTGCATATGGTGTGCATGGCTATAACTTAATATAATAAGCAGGAATGTTCACTAGTTTTGATTGCATGTATGTTATATGTAATTTCATGTTTGTGCAACATAACATGGGGAAGTGCCTGTAATGGTTTGTCATATTAGGAGGTGGGTTACATCGAATAATGAAAAGGAGTATGTAAGCAATGAAGAAAAAGGAGTTGTTGTGTCTAATCCCATAAAATTTAGGGAGTTTGTGGAGATTGGTTCTAATATCGCATCTAGTGGTATTGATATGGTAACTCTTGCCTACTCATTTCCAATGAGGGTTGCATGCAAACAAGCATTTGATGATTCGAGACAATAGAGACATGTAGTATTTTTTGGAGTATAGCAAGGCAATTATTGCTATGAAGGTGACACCTATGTATGTATCAATACTCCTCCCACTATGCACTGATGCAGCGCTTGAAGTAATGACTACTTTTGCATCAAAAGTAAGGGTTTTGGGTACTACGGAGGTGCCGTTTAAGGACGGGGATTGAAGGAAAAATTATGAAAAACAAGTTCATTTGAGCAACATCTATCCATGCAATTAAAAATTAAAGGCGGAATCATGCTTGTATGCACTCAAAAACAAAACTTTACCCATGAAATTCAAGGTCTAGTAATTGTGGTGAACCAAGACTCAACTTAAACCTTAAAGAAAAGAGTTGAGAAACTTTTATACCTTTGAAACACCTTTTTGCTTAGCAAAGGATATTCACCCATGTGAGGGCCTTCTTTCCTTAGTCTCCTTGCTCCTTGTCTCCATGGATGTGGATAGAGGAACTTTGCTTCTTTGCCCCATGACGTCTTAGATATGGATGAAAGAATGGATTCTCCAAGTTCCCAAGAAAGGGAACCTCTAAGTTTCCACACCAAAGGAGAGCATTGAGGAAGAGATGAGTGACCTAGGAAAAGATGGATGCTAGTCCATTCTTCCCAGGGTGGCCGGCCTCTTAAAAGAAGAGAAAGCTTTTTGTGTTTTTCTCTTTTCTCTCTAGAAAACCCTTATAAGGGAATGAGTTATAATTTACTTTCTATAGCCACTTACATTGAGTCGCCTAATTGAAATTAAAGTCAATTCTCCCTCACACTCTCTATGCCCGCCCATGTGGGTTCATTAGGCTTTCATGCCCCTTATGTTTTCAAGTTGTTATACAACTTGAGTTATTGGACTTGACATTCGAAACCCATTGGGTCTTGAGGCCCAAAACTAACCCGAGGTCTAAAACGAACTTATTCGTTTGATTATTATTTAACATATTAATTAATCCTGGCCATAAATAATTAAACCATTTAATTATCCTTACTCATCTTCGTTGTTTCTTCAATCTCTACCTTACATGGTGTATGATCCATTAAGTTCCTTTTAGCGAGGTAGTGGGCGATTAGAACTTTTCAAATCGATTGTGAATTGAAACTTACTTTTCAATTCTCCCTTTGAGTGATTATACACCTTTAGGGCTTCCACAAACCATGAGTGACACCTAGCAGTATGTCATGGCTACCCAAGCTAATCAGAAGATGTGGAGAACCTATTTAGTTTGGGATTACAATGCAATACGATCTTTCTCTAATACAATACTCTTGACCACATTGTTTGATTTGATAGTTTATTCATGTCTACTATCCAATGTGATTCTCTTACTTAAATGATTACCTTGAATGTGATTTGGAACGAAATCCTAAATCTCATTCATACTCTGGCTAAAGATTCTTAATTATATCATAGAGTATTCTCCCTCAAACGGTTTGAAGGTTAGAGATCCCTTGTTGTACATTCACTTGCCTCCATGACTAAGTGGCTTAACCCTAACTATGTCGTGGACACCCTTTGACGGAGTGACTTTGACATAGTCAAAGATCAAGGACTTAACCATAAGACAACTATGATACCTCAGGTCAAAGGACTACTTTGCATTATCCTAACCATGAGTTTTCATGTGACATGAGTATGAGAACTCCTTGTTGATCGCGTTCAGTGGACTCATTCTCTATTGAGCACCTACATGCTTGTCTTGGTGTTAGTTATACCAATGACTCGAGACCAGTCATTCTCTCTAAGAGAAGACATAACACGTATTGATCTTAACGGACTGTCAATGTCCAATTGGCAATCATATGATCAGAAACGTTTAGGATATGTATACGAAAGAGAATGGTTTTATGAATCTAACTTATTTAGATCACATTCTCCTAATTACATATTCCTTGGATTTATCGTTTAAGCATATAACGTTTATATGAGATGTCTTTAAACAATAATCTTTACCCTTTATATTAAACTAAATTAGTTTAACATGTGAAATGTCCGTAAAGTATCATCATATGCTTGGCTTTAGGGCACATTTCCAACAAGGATGGCATAGATTGGGTTACCATGATGGACTTTGATTCCTGGTAGTACGAATTTGATTCAATGCGTGAAAATCTATACAAGTGAACATGTCATGCCAATGCCTCACAATTATAAGGTACAACGAAATGGAGGTGTATGTATCCAAAACTTGAAGCAGAAGACAAGTACATGTGCAAAAGACACCAATGAATCTACTGGCAATTATGATGGTTATGTGAAAAGGCTTAATTATGTTGTCGACAGAAACACGGATTTGTAGCCATATTTCAAAAGGGGCGACCTTTTTGTTGACAAGAAAGATCTCTCGAGAAGGGTTCAATTGAAAACGACTAAAAGGAATTTTTAGTACACGGTCGATGCATCTTCAAAAAGGCGTCTAGTTGTCAAGTGTAAGGATGTCTGTTGCCTTTGGTGGATTTTTGCGTACCAGAATGGTAGTGACAAGTTTAGGATTGCGAAAGTTAAAGTTTGCCACCAGTGTGATTTGGTTTTGTTCAAAGACCATTATCTGCAAGTCAACATCTAGCTTATCCGTCACACGATAAGAGACAAATTCAATGATCCCGATACAGTATACTGTTTTGGATTTGGCAAGGACTTCCTGTCCCGATGTCCTCCTTTAGCAGTTTGTCATGGAAAAGGATAAGAGGTGCCCTTGTTGAAGGAAGATTTGTGAAAAACAAGTTCATTTGAGCAACATCAACAACATGCAATTAACAATTAAAAGGCGGAATCATCTTTATATGCACTCAAAAACAAAACTTAACCCATGAACTTCAAAGCCTAGTAGATAGGTGAACCAAGACTCAACTCAAAACAAAGTGAGTTGAGAAATCAATACGTTTGTAGATTCCTCTTTGCATAAGCAAAGGCTAATCACCCAAAGAGAGGGCCTTCATTCCTTGCATCTTAGATCCATGGATTTGGATGGATGAAAAGGTTTTTCCAAGTTCCCAAAATTGAGAACCTCTAAGTCTCTACACCCAAGGCATATTGTAGAAGAAATGAGTGACCTTGAGGAAGTAAGATTGCTAGATGTTTTCCTCAAGGGTGGCCGGCCTCTTTGAGAGCAAAGGGAGGTTTGTGTTCTCATCTTTACTCCTAAGAAAACCCTAAGGATGAAATGGCTATAAAGATGTCTTTATACCACCTCACAATGGAGTGGCAAACTTGCAATTAAGCCAAGTTCACTACCCTCCTCTAAATGGCCGGCCATATGGGATTTATTGGGCTATTTAGGCCTTTGTGAATCATTATTCATTAAGTTGTCATACAACTTAAGTCAATGGACTTGACGTTTGAAGCCCATTGGGCCTTAAGGTCCAAAACTATCCCGAGGTCTTTTAACGAACTTATTCGTTTGATTAATAATCATATTAATTAATCCTTGCCATAAACAATTAAACCATTTAATTATTCTTACTCATCTCCGTTGAATCTTCAATCTCTACCTTACACGGTGTACGATCCATTAGGTTCCTTTTAGCGAGGCAGTGGGCGATTCAAACTCTTTCAAATCGATTGTGAATTGAAACTTACTTTCAATTCTCCCGTTAGTGATAATACACTTTTAGGGCTTCCACAAACCATGGTTGACGCCTAGCAGCATGTCATGGTTACCCAAGCTAATCAGAAGAGGTGGAGAACCTATTCAGTTTTAGGATTACAAATGCAATACGGTCTTTCTCTAATACAATACTCTTGACCACATTG